TGGATCCGCTAGTGATTTGAAGCTAGAACACTTAGGATGGTAATTCCTAAACCTCAGGTGATATCATGCCACAATAGCCGATCAGTTGATTTTGTTAAGTTGATTTTTCAATTGAGCAAGGCTGGGAGTCTTTGTTTCAGAGAACTTTTCTTATCACTTTTCTATAGGAGACAGGTTTGAATTTTGGATTTATTCATCTGTAGTTTGTCATTCCCTTGTTAAAACTGTGGAGAATTTTTTTTTTTTTTTATGGATAAAAAAAAATATGCCGACCCCGAAACCTGAGTGTCTATCATAAGCGAATCTACGGGAGGCACTAACGGATCCAGGATTTAATTTTGGGAGGGAGCTTCAGCCCGAAAGATTTTTTTTTTTGTATGTATATATTAGGATAATTACTTCTGAAGAAATAATGAAACTAACTACATATATGAAATGGTGTTTAAGTGATTCTTCAAGTCCTGTTAAATGTAATTAGAGGAACAATAATACTTTTAGAGATGATTATTTACATAAAACATGGTTATATTTTACCATTTTGGGAGGGGGGCTGCAGCATGAATAATAAACTAATTGACCGTATAAAAAAAAATTGATAAAAGACTTAAATTGTTCTCAATTGAACCAATTTCCAATGATCCGACGTCAGAACTAAAGTTGTGAGTCACATTAATGTTGAAATGTACATTTACCTAATAAAAATCCGAGAGTAATAAAAAAAAAAATCTGATAATATTGCATCAAATATTCATTATATAACGAAATTATTTGCGATCAATTTTATTAGAAGAAAAAAGAAGATAAAATCGTGTAAAGGTGATTAATGTGAAATGAGCTCACAAAACGTAGGATCCATCATAAAGCTATGGACCCCATAAATCAGAATGTTTAGTGCCATCAGAATGGACCCCAATGCATCAGAACTAAAGTTGTGAGTCACATAAATGTTGAAATGTACATTTACCTAATAAAAATCCAAGAGTAATAAATAAAAAAAATCTAATATATTGCATCAAATATTCATTATGTAACGATCTTCCCCTTCCATCTACTATATAAGTTATATAAACGAAATTATTTGCGATCAATTTTCTTAGAAAAAAAAGAAGATAAAATTATGTTAAGGTGATTAATGTGAAATGAGCTCACAAAACGTGGGATCCATCATAAAGCTATGGGCCCCATTGAGCGACCTTAATGGAGGGTTGCCCTATTTTGAAAAGCCTTAAACTGCATTACTTTTTTTTTCTCCCTCCCTTATTCAGTGATGCTAAAGATGAATGCTCCCTACCCCACCCAATGCGGTCACTAATAGCAGGCATAGAGGTCTTTTTTTAGCCTTTTTTAATGGTCTCTTTATTGTGTCTCTATGCATTTGGTTCGGGCAGCTGAGGGAATTGTCCCCCCCCCCCCTCCAAATTTGATGAAGAAATGTGTCACTGGCGGAATGTTACATTTTAATAAAAAAAAAAAAACTTCTTTTTTCTTGGAAGTTGTCTATTTATTTTTAGTTTTTTGGCAATAATAACTTCCAATTGGTAATGATTGAGAATATTCATATTATCAACGTTACATGTTGACAAATTAGTTGACGTTTCGGGATATTTACTCCCATCTTCGGAACTACAATCCCAATAATCTTGTGGATGCAAGGCTAAAAAATTGTTTGAGTTAAAATATTGTTACATTACATGTTTGAATTTTGTTGTTACAATAAATTTGTAATTACCTTAAAAAATAATAATAACGTGCTCCATCATCAATTCTAATCATCAATCAAATTTCTAATTCATGTTATAAAATGTATCATCTAGAGCAACATCCTGCTTTTGACCTATAATTGGGTATCTGCCATAGTGAAAAACAATTGACCTTTGGATCTGACTATTTTTATACTATTGTTGTTAATGTTTATTTTATGTATCTGTAATTTCACCTCTATTAAATTTTAATTTTGTTTAATATTTCCGCATAATGAGTTCTTAAATGTTTAGTGTCTGTTTTGTTGTTGACTGTTGTTCTATAGTTTTTTGTGACGTGTATTGCTTCAAGTAATTTCCTATTGGTGTTTTTTGGTTGTGTGTCTATTATCTGTGGTTTATTGAAGTTAAATTTATGCTGTGATCTTATACCGTGATGTGCTAAAGCGGTTGAGTTTATGTTTTTTGTATTTTTACAGTTGGTGATATGTTGTGAGATTCTAGTCCCTAATTGCTTGGATGTTTCACCAATGTAGCTTTGGGGGCAGTTTTGACAGTTTAATTTATATATTACATTTTTCTTGATTATTGGTTCTATTTTATCCTTTGTATTGGTGATGTGCCTGCTCAGTTTCTCATTATTATATTTTCCGAGTTTAATTTCTGTTAAGTCATAATTTTTGAACACGTCTTTAATGTTGTTAGTAAGTTTAGGTATGTATGTTATTTTGTAGTAGTAGTTCAACAAAGTCCATTTTGTTTGTTGATGATAAAAAAAAAAAAAAAAAAAAAAATATCTAATATCTAAAAAAAAATTATAAAAAACAAATGTTATTGACATTTTTTAAATATCTGTTTTAAATCGAGTCTATATTAATTATTGTACCTTTCTTCGTGCATACAGGGTGTCCCATAATTAGAGAGAATTATTTATTTTTCTATCAGTATGTTTTGATAGATTTTACAATATCTCAATTTTCTATTTATATCTATCTTATATAACTTTTATTCCTTTTCTCTGTTTTACATTTTATTCTAAGATTACAATTTTTAGTTCTTATGTTACCTTATTTTGATTATGTTTACTTCATTAGTCCACACTTTTTAGCCGTTATGATTATTTATTTCTTAATCCTCTGTTATTGTTTTTATTTTACATTAATGTTCACTTATCTACTTCATTTTACTATAAGTTATTCTACCTACGCTATGTCTCTGTTTCTCATATCTAGTGTTATCTGATTCTTTTCTCAGCCCTGATGAAGGCCAGAACTTTGGGCCGAAACGTCGGCAAATAAATATTATTATTTATTTTTGCCATTTTTTATTTAACTGATCACCCCAACCATCCTTCTCTTCAATTATTCACTACAGTTAACCATCAACCCACAATTATTTAACCATTAAATATGCACTTGTTGAATTAAGTAGTTTTATTGAGCATTTTTTTATTTATTTTTTTATTTCTGATGATAAAATAGATTCGAAAATGTGGAAATTATGGTTCTATTAATTTTTACCACCGATTATAGATTTTGGGAAATGTAGTTCCCTTGACGGGTTCTCGCCAAAGGGGTAATGTGAACTCAAGTTACTATTATTATTTATGTTTTAATTATTAATTTATTGTAATAATTGCGACTGAGTAAGAGACCCTGGGATCTCCTTGAGTCCTGCCTTTCCTTCCACGAGTGGGGTGGATCGATTAAACCCTCTGCTAAAGATGGATGCAAAAATCAGCTGCAGTTTATGAAATTATCCGGCAAACTGAGTCATGAAATCTGTACGAAATATGTCAAGATAAAAAATCTACCTATACATAAATAAATGAATTCCTAATATAATTTGTTGTTTTTTTTTCACCTTAGAAAATCAGAGGAAAAGTTTAAAACAAGTTTATAAGCTGAAAGAAAACAGGAAGGGATTGATTCAAGAAAAATTCAAACAAAATTTGTGATTCAAAATTGATACCGGGATACTGGTTTCAACTCACTGTCATCTATTTTGCTCAGCTTCTCTTAAAAGTTTCTTTCGTATCTAACTATGCTTTCTTGATAATAATATAAGTAATAAATATTTGTAATTGGTTCGGTAAATAACTTTCTGCAATAAATTTTCATTTATACAATTTATTACTTATAAAATAGTCCGAGCCAGATACCTAACCTTTCATGTTAAACTCCAGTCCCATCCGAATCCACTTGTTTCTAGCCTTGGTTCTTCCTCGATTCCTGATACTCTCCCTAGGCGTCTGAAAAGAAGATGGCCTCGTGATCTTCTCACCTAGAATTAAATAGGGAGTGCTACCACTGGGCAGTATCTCTTCAAGTCTGTTCATGTAATGATTTCTAATGTGTGAATTTTTGCTAGTTATATTGTTAATACAGCTGTAAATTTCATTAAATAAATTTAAAAAAAAATTACTTATAAAATATATTTTATTTATAGATAATAAAAAAACTATAGAAATAACTGTTATTCTTATCCAAACACTGATAGTTTTAGTCATTATTAATTCAGAAGGCCCGACATGCAACAAAATAATCCGTTTTTCAGATATATTGGCTAAATTAAAAGTTTTCCATGTTCTTTGTTTCCATACAAAGTTTTGTCTTTTTTTTTTTTTTTTTTTTTTTGTCGTTCCATCCAAAGGTTCGTTGACTTTTCCGACAAATAAGAATTTGTGAACAAGTTCTAATCTGCCCTGGGTCGGTTGAAGTTTATTTCATTAAAGACCCAAGGAATGAAACTCGACCTTCCTATTATGGTCTCAATAGATTTAGTTATACTTCTGGAAAAACCCCTCCCCATCCAGTAGGCCAGAGAAATCGCGGTAGATGGGAACGAAAAAAAAGTAAGCATCTTTATCTATCATTGAATGTTTTAGAAACATATTTAATATACTTAGGAAACCATGGTTTGGGAACCCTTGATCTATCGGTATACCCAGCTGTGAACCTGAGGGTGATGGAATTGCCCAATCCGCAGGACACCAAACTCGACCAACCAATCAATTCATGATAGGAGCCGAACTGCTCAAGAGCCTTATCGATCCTCAGGAGAATCGAGGACTGTAGCTTGTTCGACCGGACAACTCGGAGGAGAAATAAATGTTTCGATTTAGTTGTAGAGAGGGCTGACCGGTCTGAAGGCATTAAGGATAGGGGGGGGGGGAGGAGGCTATAATTTTCCCTGCAATTTCTCCCCCGAGGTACAATGATGGGGAATGATTCGGCGACCGCCGCTGGTAAAAAATCTCTCCCCTTTGTGGAGGGTGCGGCGGGGGAATGCGGGATGAGTTCATGTCCCCATGGCCCTCACGTCGCCTCCTCGCCACATCCGGAATATGTTACCGCTACGTGCTCTGTCGGCGGCGCCTATCCATTTAGCTTTCCTCTCGGCCACAGCTCCTGTCAGAGCCTCCATCATTTGCTTACTCTATACTTAAAAAAGTAAACTAATACCTAATAATAATAAAAAAAAATATTAATCAGAAGCCAGCTTGCGGCAAGCTTACTTAATATTAACCGGTAAAATTAATACATTTTATTTTATTTTTAACCTTGCTCTGCCTATAATGCAATACTGGTGGTTGCAGCAGTTGGGTTTTACTCATGCTAAGTAAAAATCCATTTCTACAAGTAAACTTTTTTTTTTTTCCCCATCCTCAATTGTTAGGTTATACGGGGTTTTCCCGGACCAGGGGGTAAGAGCGGGTGATTAATGTCAGAATTAAAATACTCCAGGCACCGGGGTTGCTGGGCAACGACGGTGCTGTGAACACACATTAGCCCGCTCGGCAACCCGTCTTCTTGAAGTGGAGGTGATTTTTCACTCATGAGATGAGCGAAATCTTTCTCCGTTAAAACGAAATAAATGAATGAAATGAAGATATTGAATACGAAAAATATATATATATAGAGTGTAAGTGAAAGATGTCAGGACAATTTAGTAAAACGAAATCCTAGGAAAAACAACACTTATTCGTTCGCCCTAGACACTAAAACCATTGTTACTATTACTTGACATGAAGACACAAATTCCTCATTAAAACAACAAATATCTCTATGTATACATAAGTAGAGTAATCGATAAAATTATTATCGATTAGTAATGAGATTCAGTATTTATAAGAGTACTCACCAAGGTGAACCACAAGGTGAGATTTATCTAATCAAATCTTATAATAATAAAGGACTTAACGAACCCTTAGGTTCGATGCCGACATCACCAATCGCTTATTACACACCTCCCTCCACCGTTCGTCATCCAAACTCAGTCCCTTCATATCGACTTTAATGCAATCTTCACACCTACTCTTCGATCTATCCCTCGGACGTTAACCATTCGGTACAGCAAATATTAATCTTTTAGGAATTCTTTCGTTACTAAGACCAACAATTTTACAAGCCCATTTGATTCGGCTCGATGAAATCACCTCAATTATATTACCCGAATACAGTTCACGCAGTTCGGCATTGTGTAGCCGTCTGAATTCTCCGGTTAACTCATCCTTCTTCGGTCTGAATATTCTACGCAATACATTATTTTCTAAAACCTAAAGACGTTGTTCATCCCTTAATGCAAGCGGCCACGTTTAGCATCAATGAAGAACTGGAAGTAAGATAATGATTTTATAAATTCTAATTTTTAAATTCCGGGACAAGAAGAACGAGCTAAGTAGTTTTGTCACAGAAAAATAACAAGCTTTGCCCGCATTCAGTCTAACCTTAATCTCCTCTTCAAATTCGTTTTTCCTAGTTATCGTAGACCCTAGATACCTAAACTTCTCTATCTGTTCAATTACCATCTATATCGATATCACCAGTAATATCGCCATTTGTGCAGCTATCCAAATATTTTGTCTTATCCTTGTTTATTTTGAGCCCTAGTTCTTTACTGGGTTTCATTAACCTTGTCATATTTAATTTTATAGTTTCCGCGACTGCGCTTAACAGTACCAGATCATCAGAATAGCCCAGCACGGATGTTGTCCCGCCCAGATCCAACCCTTTTTCGGTACTCATTACCTCCCTAATAGCATGTTGTAATGAGAGGTAAGAAGATTAATACGAGGCTAATTCCTATTTGAATTCTGAGCATTGTTCAGGAGAAAACCCGATATATTGATAATGGCTAACCTAGGAAGCATCACGCCTTTAAATGCAACTCTTTAAATGCATTATTCTCCTTCCAGAAAAAATGATAAATTTATTCCTTATTCCTTCAGCCTAACTTAACCTTACCACATTTATCTTACTTAACATGCAAAATAAGACATAATTTACCACGGATGTTTATAGTAGTGAGCTGTTATGCATGTCTAGGGGCCTAACCCATTAAGCTTCTAATGTTCATACTATAAATTACAAATTAATGCCTTTTGAAGCAACTTTTCTTCCACTCCTCATCGTTCTATGTGGCTTCCTATGAACTGGTCCTCCTCGTTGTTAGATGGAAATGGGATGAGTTCACGACGGCTTTCCATCCGTACGGAAAATCTTAATAAGGATAGAATTTCACAGTGACTAACTGAGAGAAATCGTTCTTTGTGAGTACATAAAAACAGATTTCTCTCAATACTTCAAGATGGTGCAATGGACAATAAAGAGCTCAACAGCCTCCAAAACACCATAGCTAGGCCATAAGGCGTTGATGTCCAACCCATGAAACTTTACTCGAAAACATCCATGATCCATTAGAAATTTCGGGAGCCAGTAGTCTGGGAGTACTTTGCTTCTAAACGAAGGTGGGTTCTTTTGGTTATGTGTTATTACACATAGCCGATTCGGGAGAATTCAAGAGTTATATTCTCCCGAAAATGTTTTTCCATTCGCAGGGAATCTCGTCAATTCTTATCTGAAGTCTGTAGTTCTAATGAGTCCTCTTTCTTGAACGACCAGGGCATAATACATTTGCAATAAATAAATAATTAAGGCTTAAACGACGATATTTGTTTTCATTTGATTGAAATGTTAATACATTGCGCCCTAACGCGTCGCAGGGTTGGTATTTACGCCATTGCCTCTTGACTGAAATAAAGTGATGGAAGAATTCTAAATATTGATCCAACTGTCCGCTTTGAGAGCAATGACCTCGATCAGGCGAGTGAAGTGGAAAGGGAAAAGAAGAACACGTACGATAAATGTATCCCTTTCCTAAAAGAGAAATTCCGTGAGACCTTCGGAGAGAGAGAGTTCACCGTGAGAGTTCTTTGGTTTGGGTCTCGCGGAACTATTCCAAAAAGAACAAGAAGCTTCTTCAAGGAACTAGGTGTCAACATTAAGGACCTAGCGAGTTGAATATAGTCCTCGACTCCCAGGGAATCATACACCACCACGTGCATGGCTAGCCTGAGAGTTTTAATTTATGTATTTATTTATTTAATGAATAATTGAAAACAATAGAGATAAAGAGAGAGAAGTGAGAGAAAAGGAAACTAAATGTTAAAAAAAAAAGAATAAAAAGAAAAGCATGAACAATGAAAGGAAGGAAAACGGAAAAAAATGTATATATATATATATATTTTACTAAGATAAACTAGTACTTCTGTATATTTATATATAAGTTCATTTATTGTCCTAAGGATAGAAGAGTATGCTGTGTATATAGCAACCCAATATAATTGGGCAGCAATCTTTTATATTTTATATTTTAATGAAAATAAAGTGTTTCTCTCTCTAAAAAAAGGACGAAGACTTACATGGAGATTGTACATTGTTAGCAATTGATTAATAATGTAAATAAATAGTCATAGAAATATGCTTTTCGGGTGGAAGAAGATAATGGTTGTAGTCTTTAGTAACATTTCTTCCCATTCTGACTTATTCTTCAATATGGCTAGGACACTAAAACCTTTTGTGGATAGAACCTTGTAGAATTGCTAGTGACTTACCAAACCAAACTACAGAGAAAACGAGGAAAGGGACGACTTAGAACTAGGTTGGAAATGATTAAATAAGAGGAACTTCCAGAGAAGAGGACTGCAATGGACCAGAAGAAGACATTTACTAGAATACCAGCAGAGTTGGAGAACACTGCCTGTTCATTTGCAGTTCAAGTGGAATGCGTAAGATGAGGATGTAAAAGATTCTTCCATTACTTCCTTCAAACATATTTTATTTTTTTACTTTCTTAAATCTCAATGCTTCAACAAACCCTAAAAGATCTGGCCTTCATTCTTGATTTTGCAGTAGAATAGTCAATGTCAATCTAATTAACATTTACTGTTAATGATACTGTTAAATATTATATAACAATCTATGTTATGCAGCATTGATACTGTAAGATAACTTTGAGAAGAAGTTAATTGGAGGAATAGTCAATATATAATACTATATTATATAATAGTATTTTTTTTATTGTATTTTCCAACATTTTGTCCTATGTTGTAGATCTTCTGCAGGGTGTTCCATCTGGCACTGCTGAAATCAGTTGGGAGCCATTCCGTAAGATATCTTTGTTTGTTTAATTGCTTTGTTTATAACTCACTATTTATATTAGAATACCTATTTTTTTTCATTAAAAAATTACTTTTTAGTATATTGTCAGAAATCTATCTGGTGAATTATAAATATATTTCTTTACAAGTTTATCTTTCCAATGATATTTATCATAATAAAAAATAAATTAAACACAAAATGGATATTAAAACTTTTTTTTATCATATTTAGAAATTTAAATATCGTTATAATCATTATGATACTACAATATGAAATAATATGGAAAGCAGGTAACGTATACTTTTAAATAGAAAGAATACACAAAAAAAATTAACAATAATATAAACATAAATGTTCCAGACTTGAATATGCATGCACTCAAACTTAATAGATTTGGTAGATGATATCATGTAAATTTTTGGGAATTCTTTATTATTCATCTCATTATATATTATTGATTTGGAGTTGCTAATGTTATTTCAATTTATTAATACACATGTATATCTTATGCTATAATCTTTGGGCAATCCAAGAGACAAGTCTTTCTAATTTATTTGTAATACCATTTAAGATTTTTACAAAATTGAAACTTTTTCTTTTCATATTTCCTATTGTATGTGTGAACTTAAGCCCTTATTTATCTTATTAAACAATCTCTTGGCAATCTGCTAGGTGACTACCCCCCGGATAAGCCTTCTTGTTTATATAACCTTTCATTTCGATAATATGACAGAAGCATTTTAGAATATTTTCTATCTCTTGGAGATTCCACTGTGAAATTATCTCTTATTTTGAGCTCTTCTGTTTTAATCTTGAATTTTTCTATGAGTATCGATTTTACCTGCTATTGTTCTTCTTGTGTGATTGGTATGGTCAAGCTTCCTTGCTATTGCTATTTCCTGCGAGAGGGAAACTTAGAAAAGGATTCATTCTTTTTTCTCCAATCAGTATGTATTAAGATCTTACAAGAAACCTCACCATCAATTATGACTATTTGATTCCTCGTTATTTTCCTTGCATTTGCAATTAGTCATTTTGTAGTAATTTTAACAATATGTTTATTATCAAGATAATTTAATACGTAAAGCTGCCTTCGCTACTCTCAACATCTATATAACTTTGTTCTTCTCCAATTCTATAGTTATTATTTTTCTCTTGTGATGTTCCTTGATTCTTCTGAAATTAGGAAGGATGCAGTATAGAATTAACATCTTATTGTCAGTAAAAAGTAAAGCCTGAACAAGGACAGTTATATTATCATTATTATTATAAAGTTAAATTATGAAGATGACTATCTCTTAATTCATGCATTGTTTGACACCTTAATAGGAATTGAAGGTTTTCGACTGACCTCCAATAAGGAAAATGCACCCTTTGGATTCTGATGCTTGGATTCTGATTCTCTGATTCATCAGTTGTTTTTTTTTTAACCAAACGAATGTTTTAAATATTTAAAAATTATTAATCATTTATATTGAATATTTTTTGTATCTTATAAACAATTTTAAAAACAAAATACTTTTTGTAAGTAAATAATTTATTTTTATTTAATTGAACTAATTTGTAACTTTTTTTTATTTTTATAATTTATGATATTTACAACTGTATTAGAAATAAAAATAGATTCAGTAAACGTGAACACAAGAATATAATAACATGAAACCACTTGTTGAGAAACTATCCTCCGGTAGCACTCTAAAAATGTATTTAAAAAAGGAGATCTCGAGGCATCTTCTTTTCAGATGCCTCAGAGAGTTATCAGAGATCAAACAGAAAGTGAGGTTAGAAACAAGAGGGTATGGATGGTTCTGAAGTTTGTTATAGAATTATAGGTATCTGGACGAGATCAGAAACATAAGGAACATTAATAGAAACATCCAGGTGTTAGTTACGAATCTCAACTCTGTTTCTCCTTAAAAAATGTTTGAGATATCTGCAGATCAAAATTCATTTATTTCGATTATAACTTCTTCCACTGAAACTGATTTTATTAGAAACAAAGTAAGGAACATTGAGGATTTTATGAAGAATTTTGGATATAGGGAGGGATTGGATATGAGATATGGAGTTCCTATGCTCAAATCCCTAAGTCCAAATAAGCCTTATTATAGCCATGTATATGAGTTTTTTTGTAAGCTTAGAGCGTTTGTCTAGTAAGTGCTGGAGTATTCGGAAACATCGAGCGGGTTCTTGTCGTTTCAGTCTTGTAAGAATATTCCAAGATGGATTTTTGTCCAGGTGGAATCCAAGGTATCAGATTTGTTCAACTGGGATAAGTGATGTATTATTAAAGGATACTGTAGGACAGGAGGTCATAAGCTTAATATGAAGGGTAAAGGTGATTTTATGAGATTTATTGAAATTTATTTCAATCCTCCAGTTTTGATATCATTCTACAAGGTTTGTGATGTGTGATTGAAGAGTTTGGGATCCAATCATTGGGACATTATTAATTGATAGGATATGTGTGTCATCGCCATATGTGGTGATGACAGTGTTAGGATGGATTGGAATGTCACTTGCATAAACTATGTAAAGGATAGGATCTAGGATACTACCTTGAGGAACACCAGCAGACTGGGAAACGAGGAATGAATAAGCATTGTTGTGATTTACTTTGAAGTATCATCAGTTAGGTAGAAAGGCATAATGAGGAAGTATGTAGAATGTAGGAATTTATGGAGTTTTTAAAGCAGTCCTGGGTGACAAACTCAATCAAAAAATCTGTAACTGGAGTTGAAAATAATGTAACTTTTTTTTTTTGCTTTGAAGTTCTGGCAATGGCTATTTTCATTCCCATATTCTCCAGATTCACCACTGACGTGTGATTCTGTGGCTGTAGCAACCTTGCTCATCCTCCAATAGCTTTAATACTAGTGACAGAGTTGAGAGAAAAACACTGGGATCTCCTGGAGTCTCACTTTCCCCTCCTCAGGTACGTGGACAAACCTGGCTGATGGTAAATAGTAATAAGTAAGTAAGTAGTAAAGCTGTAATTAAGATATTAATTTTATTTTTTAAGATTATTTTTTTCTCCTTTTTGCTATTTTATTTTGTTCTTGTTTCTATGTATTATATTGCTTTTATTTAATTTATTTATTGATATTTTCTGTATATGGTGGTGCTCAATCATCACTATTATCATTGTCCTTAATTGAGATAGTCGGTACTCTTATTCAATAAAAAAAAATATTTGTAGTTACTTTCATTAGAACATTTTTAACTCTTTTTAAAATAGTTTCCTTAAATAAAAATATATAATAAAATAACTTAAAGAGGTAGATCGAATATATTCAGAAGGCAGAGTGGAGGGGATTGGTCACACCCTATAAAAAACTGAGAGCCTGAAGGGGTGACATGAAAGGGTTGTAACCCTTCATAATGGGAGCAGGTGATTGGTCCGAAGTGGGGAAGGGTTTTTTTAATGATTCAACTTCCAGATGTTGCAACACACAGATTTGATAAATATTTTTTATTTTTTTATTCAGAAGGTAATTATTAAGCTAACAAAAAGATAAAAATAATTATTAAAAAATATAATTTCTGTAACGAAATATTATATTTTAGTTCAAGGTGAATTGTTTTAAATTATAAATAATTAAAAACTTGTAATTGTTGGTTATTTGATGGGTTAGCGTTTATGATAGCTTTAAGATATCATTTATTGGATGAATTTTCTCAACGATTTACCTTCTATACATTAATTTTTATTAGAAACATAAGTTAATTTTTATTAATTAATTATGTAATTATTGCAGTACAAATTTTACAAGAACTAATCATTTTTTATTGCATATATTTAATTTTTTCATTTTTGTTCTTTACTTAAACAATTTAACAAACATTATCAATAATCAAATGTGTCTTTTTTTGTAAATATATGTAAATTTAAAGTAGATTATGT